ATGATGGGCCCCAAAACCCTATTCAAATTCAAAAGGCCCTTATGCTATGCGTGTTAGGGGCGCAGCGCCCCAAGCCATGTTCAAGAGCCTTCAAAGCCCAAAGCCTCTTGCGCCCTCAACAGCAGGCATACAGACGAAAAGAGCGCCACACCCCAAGCCTTAAACACCTTAGGGTTCAGGGTTTAGGTTGAAGGTTTTGGGGTTTGACCAAGCAAAAGGCAAAGAGCCCGGAAGCCCTAAACCTTAAACCCTAAACCCTAAACCCTAAATCCCAAACGCCTAAACCTTAAACCCTAAACCCTCAACCCTAAACCCTAAACCCTAAGCCTAAGCCCTCCAGAAAGAAGAACGACAGCGAGGTTCGCCCTGGCTAGTGACAACTACTCAGAAGAGTACACGCGGTGTCGTCAGTTTCTCCAAGGTCTCCTGGGTGACAGATCTACTTGGAGGGTAGCTATAAGTGGGGTTATAAGGGGTTCCTTTAAGGGTTCCTTTAAAGGGTTCTACAGGGTTTAGGGTCTAGGGTTTGGAGGTTCATGGGTAGTTATAAGTGGGGTCATAAGCAGGGTAACTATCCTTATAACCCATATTAGGGGACTTCTAACCCTGCTTATAACTACCCATGAACCTCCAAGTAGGGCGTCGGAATTTAGGACTTCGGAAGAGTTTGGTTGCTGGGGTTTTCGGCTTAGAGTTTCAGGGTTTGGATTCTAGGGTTTCAGAATTAGGGGTTGGGGCTTCAGGGTTCGGGCTTGAGGGTTTAGGGCTTAGGCTTCAAATTTGTGGGTTCAACACTTTTGGCTCGGAGCTTAAGGTTGAGGCTTGAGGGATGCGCATATGGGTTGAAGATTGAGAAAATGAAACCCTAAACCCTATAAACCCTAAACCGACACCGTAGATCTTGCCTTCAGACTTAAGAGCATCCAAAGAAGGAGTATTGTGAGCAGATACCAAGCCCCGAAGCATGGAGGGCAGAGGGTCAGCTTCAGTCGGATGGAAACCGTTCGGAACCAGCAGCAGCAACGGTCCAAGAGGGAACCTGTCATGAATGTGGCTGCAAGCAGGACATAGAAAACATGAAGGCAGCATTAACTCTCAGAAACCATGCTGATCCCCCGACAAAAGCATCGTGACGGCATGATTTGTTCTTGGACCCTAAGCATTTAATTGCTGCAAAAGCGTTGAACTTCACAACCCCTGAACACTGGACACTAAACCCCAAGACACCAAACTCTAAACCTTAATCTATTTAAAGCAGGCAAGGTACCATAGGATCCTGGAAAATAGGCACATGGTCTTTTCAAGGTACCTTGGTTGCTCTAGCCCTCTGACCTAAACCCCATCATGCCTGCACGCAGACACCAACCCCTAAACCCTAAGTTACGCCGTCGATGGTTGAAGGTCACCGACCACTCAAGCTTTTGGAGAGTGCTGTCTCTGCACACTGCGAGTCCACACCCGAAGACCACGCAGAAGCGGGGCTCGGATGTTGGACACATTTTGCTATTTCCAATGTGCGCTGTTTGTTGTTTGTGATGGTTTCGTTGTGCTGCCAGTTTGGGGTTGTAAGTTGACACCTGTTTAGGACTTAGGGGCTTAGGGCTTTGGAGGCTAGCGGGGCATAGAGCCTACCTAGCATTTGGTGCTAAGGAGGCTGAGCAGCCGGCCAAGGAGGTCGATGACGATAATTACTTGAACTTCTGTGCATGGATCTGATGTGAACTGACACCCTAAACTCAAATCCCCCAAAGACTAGACGCATTTCTGAAAGTCTATACCTCAAGGTCCCAAGCCTGACCGTAAAGCTTACTCCTTCAGAAACCTAGATTTGGGACTCTAAACCCTAAACCCTAAACCGGTCTTGCTTGCGGCTCACACATTTCAGGATCGAGGGCTTAGGGGGAACGTTTCCATCAGCTCTCGGTGACAACTTTTTGTCGTGAGAATTCATGCATGATCTATAGTCTCCATTGTAGTTCCTTTTTGGGGCCCCCCTTGTAGGATCCTAAATATAAAACTGGTTTAACCAATGGAGACTATAGGGATCTTTAACTGGCAAGTGACAGTTTCTCAGTCGACAAGCGGCTGTCGTCACCCTGCACGCATGCAAGGACATGCGATGTAATCCATAGAGTTGAAATGGCACGAGCCATAGAATTTCGAATGTACAGTATAGAGGCCGATTCGCTCATTCAACCTCTCCTCCTAAACCCCAGCACCCTGAACCACTAAACCTTAGGTGCAGAGAGACGGACAAGGGGCCACGGATGGCGCGTTGCCGAACTTTTTGATCTTATGATGGTCTGGGGGTTCCCATCTTCCTGGTTTTGACCCCTTGTGCAGACTTCGTGCAGACCCGGTGTGAGTCAGGAGAAAGCTAACCAGCTCTCCAAAAATGAGTTGGCAAAAACCGTGTGTTTCAGAAAGTTTGGGGTTTCTTGGTTTGAAGAGTCTTTTGTCAGGATCCGGCCAGTTTAGAGTACGCATTAGGGTCCTTGGCTTGGGTCCATTTTGCCGGCTACGATTACTGCGCGGGCTAATCGTTTTCGGGTTCAGGGGTTAGGGCTTTGGGAAGTTCTTCCTGGTGTTCCGCGGCCGTTGGCTACCGAAGCTTAGAAGTCAAAAAGCCAAGGGTTCGGGTGTGTTGCAGACAGGGTGTTGCGGACGTCAAAGGGGTTGCCTCGGCTCCTCTGTCCTAAAGCTAAGTTTTGCACCCGAATCCCCCAGCAACGAATCCACAAGCCCCTGACGCCTGACGGACCCTAACTTCACAGGCTTTCTGCCTAAGTGAACCCAGCTTTTGTTGTTTTATTGATCATGTTTCTACCCGGCATACCAATTTCTAGGCATGCTGATACAGCACCTTCAGAGGTTTTCTGGCTGCAGCTGGTTCCGTTGGAAAGCTACAGGATGTGCAGGTGTTCCGGTTGGGCGGAGGCTTCAGAGAGTCAAGTTTAAAGGGTTCTAAACCCTAAACCCTAAAACCTTAAAACCCTA